CTGGGAATGCAACTCTATTTCCTCCACACACATTCAGTGCCTGTGCACTTCTATTGATGTTTGTAACCAAGTCCTCCCACACATCATCCCCCCAAGGATATACGTTGAAGGCTTCAATATCATGGACTAACTTTATGTACTTTGCTGGTAATGGTCTAGACATTTGGTGTCCCAGTAAACCATGTGCTAGCACATAAAGCAGTGCTAACTTCAAACCATCTTCCTTTTCTATGTGTGGATCACCATGGTTATAAGCCTCCAGAGCACTTATCACATCTTGTCTTGTAATTACTTGCTTATTGCCAAAATGCCTTCTACAGAAATTTCCTTGTAACTGAATATCGCCTTGTAACTGAACATTTCCTATCGTTCTGTCACCACCAACCTTCAGTCCTAGCAGCAACGCCATATCTGATCTGGTAAAACTTATTACACTGCTTCCTATGTGAAACCTTATCACACTAGTTTCAGCAATGTTGTTAAATTCCTCAATATAGCTCCCTGCAAGTGCTATGCACAACTGCCCACTCAACCTTGGCATCTGTTCAATGTCAAGCATCCATCCAAAAACTGTGTTTTTGAATGCTATTAATTCCTCTTCACTCAGTTGCCCTTTGATTTTTTTTGCTACTTCACTTAGATTGCTATTGGCATTTAGCCTCAATTTGTCCAAACTTCTAAGCAGTCCAGTTTCACAAGTGCGACTGATAGTCTGTTTTTAAACAAATTTTATTACTATTAAGTATTTCCATTCATTCAAAACAAAATCACAATTTGAACATTTGGCACTCTTAGCTTACACATGGTTATTGTAAAACATTGCCTAATTACACATTTGAAACACTAATATTTGGAACTTTTGCATGATTGAGATAGTCTAAAACATAGCAATATTAGAAATCATTGAGGTACTCAATAACTTTTATTTTTCAGTAAACATTTGATAACAGTTTTTTTCAGTAAACATTCTACAACTCTAACATTTGTCAGTTTTTGCCACATTACAGTTAGTTTGCCATAATACTTCTTATTCAACACATTGACTATGTCATGACACATCTTTCAATTCTATATTTGGCAATGATTTCAAAATACAGGTAGTTTGACACAATAATTCTTCTTCAAGTCACTGACTTTGTGATGACACATCTTTCAACCCTAATAATTGTCAAATTTTTCCATAGTATAGTTAATTTGACAGACTTCTTGTTCTTCAAGTCATTGAGTCTGTAATGACACACTTTGTACACCTAACATTTGTCAGTTTTTGCCACATTACAGTTAATTTGCCATAATACTTCTTATTCAACACATTGACTATGTCATGACACATCTTTCAATTCTATATTTGGCAATGATTTCAAAATACAGGTAGTTTGACACAATAATTCTTCTTCATGTCACTGACTTTGTGATGACACATCTTTCAACCCTAATAATTGTCAAATTTTTCCATAGTATAGTTAATTTGACAGACTTCTTGTTCTTCAAGTCATTGAGTCTGTAATGACACACTTTGTACACCTAACATTTGTCAGTTTTTGCCACATTACAGTTAATTTGCCATAATACTTCTTATTCAACACATTGACTCTGTCAAGACACACCTTGTACACATAATATTTGCCATATTTTCATAATTCACCCATACTCATAGAATATATTATTATTCATACTTTGGCAACATTAACATTGGCAACTTTTGCCCTAATTTAAATACTATAAAACATGATTTAAGTATTACAAAGTGAATTGACAATAACTCTCTCAAATCAGTGACATTAATACACTTATTACACATAGAATATAAACATTACAGACAACTTTACAACACCTACACAATACATAGCACGACATGCACACAACTTTCATTACATTTGCACTTTCTATTGTCAATGATGATTTAAACATTACAAAATTCATAAATGGACATGGTTAACATCGCTTTAACACTTATATTTCTTCTATAGTGAGTACAACATACCACTTCGTTGTTGATTCTGACTTTTTGGCCATGTGATTGAAAATCCGAATCAGCCATGATATCTGCTGTTCTTATCGCGAAGTTTGTCCTTCTTCAGGCAAATATCGTCCTTCTGGCCAAGTTTTACTCTGTAATCGTCACTTCGTTCTCTCTATGGCCAAGTGTTGTCAGTTTCTCTCGAGTGTTGTGCGCGGTTGGTTGTGTTCTCCAGGTTCGCGCTTTAATGGAGGCAGTTGTTATTTTACGCGAATGGGAGATGTTTTGCCGGCTTCCCGTTCTTTTTTTTTTAAATCTTGCTTTACCTGTGTAGCCGGTTACTTCCACCTGCTCAGCACGTCCGCAGCACGCGTGATTCCAAAACGGTAATACCTTTAGCTTCATTAAGGGCATTATGGTCACTTGCATATAATTTCCGTGTCAAACGTGGTTGACCAAGTAGGACTCCTATTTTGGAATAGGTTCTATGTTGTACTCCTATATTGGTAATTTTCTCTTAGTTTTTCTAAGTACACTTTCTTATCATTTTCATATTATGACTACTTATATGTATAAAAATATATAATCAGTCTTAAACTTATTGACTTGAAAAGTGAAATTTGGCTAAATGAAAAGTTAGATTTGGGTACAACTCATATTATATCAAACCGGTATTGATCAAACCGGTATTGGATATTTTAATACGCCTTATTTAAATTTAAATTTTCGTAGGCAGTACTCCGTATATATATTTACCTTTCTTCAACAAAATATATACCATAAAATTCCATTAAAAAGACTAAACAATAAAACAATTATGCAACTCTAACGTACGTAGTGTAGTTGAGGGAAATTACCTTGGAAAGCCAAATACTTGTCATTGAAATGGTCATACACAAAGAGACAAAACTTTGTGTGAATCTCCCATCCCCCAGGAAACTTTTCAGTGTCAACAATTTGCAGGTAAAGGGAAATATGGTCATCCCCCTTTGCTTTCTTGTTTCCTTTCGGATAAACGCACAACTTCCTACATAAACATTATATGAATACACCAAGAAGCACAACAATGTAATTGTGAATTTGTGACACTATATATTTACACCTTATAGGTACATATTGGGAATGAACATATATAGAATGATGAGCAGTAGTATAACTGTGATACCATTTTTTACCGCAGGCTTCAAAAACACCAGATTCAAACATGTCATATTTTGTTTCTGAGAGCAAAGAAAAGGAAGAAATACGGAAGATGAAATGGGTTGGAGGCATTTCCCTGCTCCAACTTTCGACTCCTGTGGCAGTAGAGCCCATACTTTTGAACCTATATTTCCCTATTACACTCTCAAGCTAATGTTTGTGAAACATATAAGGAGCTGAATGCCTATATCTACGAACTATTAACTATATATATGTAAAAAAAAAAAAAAGGATGACACCCCATCCCTGAGGGCCCCCCACCACCGACCGGACGGCACGATGGGAGGATGTAAATTGGACTATAATCACAATCTGACAGATAGAGAGTGGGAATATAATACTGAAGTACAGTTTGGGAATCGAGGAGTCGGGGGATTTGGAGGGTTTAATTGTTACCGAGTGTAACTTAACATAGACTAATAAAAGGTTAGTAATTAAATGAATAGACATACATGCAATGGGTTGTTGGAGTACAGAGTACTAGAAGTCACTTTAATTTACACTAGGGGTTATTTAGGTAATTCAATTTATTAAAATTTACGTACTCAAGCCCTTATACTACGTATGTCTTTTTACCTACTTAAAAGTCTTTCATATACAAGTAAACATCATTATGAAACCCGCAGTCTATATAACTATAAGACTTTTAATTCTTTTTATTATATATGTTATTTTGTGAAGTATATAACTTAAATGTTCAAAATATTAATCCCGTATTTTTTGTCCGAATTTTTGTAATATATACCGTATTATGCTTGTATATGTGTTTACACGTTTTTTAAAAGTCAATGTTTTTTCCAACATAATTTTGATCGTTTTTTTCAAAGTCAATATTTTTTAATTTTGGTACCGTACTTAATTAACTAACTAGGGAATGAGTGAATCCTTAAGAAGGAACTTGTTTGATGAACTTCCCAATTTTCTAAGTTCCATTAATTGAGTGCAATTTTGTTCACCCCTTCTTGGAGGACGAAGATCACCCCTTCAGCTCACATGTTGTCATTTGGCATTCCATTTCGATTTTTTTTAAATTATATACTTTTTGTTTGTCTTGATTTTTTATAAAAACATATATCAGGTTTAATAATTTTTTCAGATCATTCCAATGGTATCATTATGATATATAAAAAAAATTGAAAAAAAGATCGTTTTTTTCTGAATTTCATTTTTAGCTGGCTTTTTTTTAATTTGTTATATGCAATATTTGTATCATATGAAAGATTGTAAAAAATAAAAGAACATGATATATTTTTAAAAAAATTGGATTAAAAAGAAAAAGTTTAAACACTTGCAATATAATACTCCATCCGTCTCACTAAAATTGTCTCATTTTACCTTTTCGGTTCGTCACACTAAGATTGTCTCATACCACATTTAGTAAAATTTGTATGACTCTAAATCATTCTTACTTAATTCTTATTTATCAATTTAATATCAACCATATACACCATTTTTTATTGGTTTACGTGCAATTCCCCTTGTCCCATTATTAGTAGGACGGAGGGAGTAACTATTGCCTTGTCACATGACAAGTAAATAGGGTGGGATGATGTTCACCCCTTTTAAAGGGTGAACAAAATTGATTTCCCATAAATTTGGGACGGCCCCACTAGAGTAACCAGGAAAGTATTCAGCCACTCAAGGATTTAGGGATTACACAAACTAAATAAGGGGCTATTGGGTCATTATATTGTAAGAAAAAAACTGTATAAATATATAATACTAACACGAAAGCCACACAATTTCCAAAATAAAATCCATATTCATTCCATGATTCCATCTAGAATTATATGTTAATAAATGTCGTTGGTAATTAGAAAAGTATGATGTTCTTGAATAATGTTATTTAAAAGTTAAATGAATTTAACTATTTGAAAACATTTTTAGAAAAATTGAAATAAATGGTAATAAATCAAAACGTTTATTCACTTCTACGTCACGCCTTCAATGCATATAATCTATGAATATTTAGATATGAGCTTGAATTCAACTTCAACAATGAGTGAATCTTTAACAAGGAACCCATTCGACGAACTTTCCAATACGCTAAGTTTCATAAATTTGGGATGGCCCCAGCTGCCAGCTTCATCACCAAAGAATTTAGCCACTGCACGATTTAGGAACATGGCAAAGTAAATAATAAGGTAAATCATTGTAAGAGGAAAACAATACGGAGTATTAATTTGACAAGCTAAAACCAATTCAAGAGTCAAACCTTCTATTTCTTTATGTTTGAGGATGACCAAATGATTACAAATTCGCAAAATAAATTTGGCATATATTTTTCTACCATGTGCGATAAGGCCTTCAACATCAAGCAACTCTAGAAAAAGGGACAAATATTGGCCATTTGCTCTTGAATCTCCACTTGGATACACTAACAATTTCCTGTTCAATTTCTAGGTTACATGACCTTACTCATCATATCCTTCCCACAATTAATTTACTTTTCAAATTTGACCATTACAAATAAACTACGGAGTACTACTTTAGTAATATCCACTCTTTACCGTCCAGTCAAGGTCCTTTGAAACTCTTCCCGGTGAATTTTTTTGATGAATTTTTTAATCATGTTATTCATCAGGTCCAGTTTATGCCCATCAAATTAAATCTAACAATCAATCAGGAATTTAGTCAAATGTGGCATTGAAAAACACTGCGCTGTTTATCTATATAAAGCGCAATGCTTGTGAATAATTTACTTAAATGTCATGCCTGTTGAATTTTAATCTGAAATTTGATGGGTACAAACAAGACTTGATGAAGAACATGCTTGAAAATTTTAATCAATAAATTTCACCGGAAATGACCCCAAATGGCCTTGGCTGGACGACGAATCATGTCAGACCGGCCTGACAGGATCGCTATTCTAAACTCCGTATTAAAACAAACATTCAAAACTACTTTCATGTTATATTTTAAATTAATACTCCCCCTTCATGTCTTACAACTTCAAGATCATCTTTGACCTTCTTGTTTAATGGTGGTAGTATTGATCAATAATAATTTTTTTAGTTATGGGTTTTATACTAGGGGATTAGACATTGCTCTCCATTTTTTCGACCATATTGAATGGAATCATATTTTAAAAATCATTAATGTGTGCACTCCACCTCAAAAAATATGAAGGAATGCGGTGAAAAATCATATGATTTTGTATTGAAATGGGCTACATACATGAATGATTTTTTAAATAGAGTGCAAAGTCCAAATAACCCAAAAATGAGGTGGTGCTAAGTCGAATTCTGTCTTCATAAAAAAACATTTTCATATATTATTATCATATTATAAAATAATTTTGTATATAATTAAATATATGTGAAAGTTTATACTTCGTATCATTGATCAAGAAAGTTGTAAATAGAGGGAGTATAAATGATAGGGAAAATACAAGGTACTTGTGATTTGGGGCGTTTCAAATAGGGGCATGAAGTTTGTTTTTAACAAAGTGAAGCATGTGCTTTCACTTTGAGGATTTCCATCTAAACGCCGTAAAAAAAACGACGTTGATGTATAAAAAAGTGACACATCACTTTTTTTTTTTTGACAGAGTTTAGATGGAAATCATCAAAATGAAAGCAAATGCCCAACTTTGTGAAAATTGAAGCTCATTCCCTTATTTGAAAACGATCCAAATCACAAGTATCTTTATTGTACTTTTTCCGAAACGATAAATCATTGAACACAGTATAATATCCGTAGTCATGAATAAATCATCAAACAATAATATAATAGTTTACCATTTGCTTCCTTCGACGATGAACTCATTAGAGCGAGTGTAAGTCTCACGCTTTTTTAATGTGAGGAAGCTTTTGATTGTCCATGTGTAAGTTCCATTCTTAATTGGTGCCTTCACCAAAGAATAGCATTCATGTTTTGTAGCACTTGAAAGGGAGAGAATCTCAGCTCCAAAAGCACACGTGTCATTGACCAGATATCCGTTAGAGGGATCATTGAAAGTAGACAAGGGAAACAACTTATCAAAACCATATTCCGTTTTCATGCAATGGAACCGCCTTGTTTTTCCACCAGCATCTGTGCAAGCACATATGAATATTACACACAAATATTGCGTATATACTTAGTGACACGTCTATAAGGAGAAGAATATCTTGTGACTTTTTGCCACTTTCGGTGTTCCCGCTAGTGTGTCAATGACTTTTTTTATACTCGATTTTTAATTTTTCCATTTTTAATCGTCGATTATTGTGCTAGATACTTTAAGTTCTTTTATTATGATTTTGACACAATAAGTTGAAGATTAAAATGTCACAAAAAGTGTCTATTATTAAAATAGAAGCACTAAATACGGATATTTTCAAAAATGGGTACAAAAAATGTCTCTAGCACAATAGTCGAGAAATGAAAATGAAAAAATCAAAGTCAAGTACTAAATGTGTAAAAAGTGACATAATAGTTGGAGGACTAAAAGTGGCAAAAACTATAAATAAGACTTATTTATTGTTAAATGGGGAAGAATAGCTTATACTTTTAATAGGACCATATAAGCACTATTTTGGCAATGAAAAATAGACTGTTCACTATCTGTATTTGGGTCCTTTTTAGAGTAATTTTTTAAGAATAAAACATGCACAGAGTCGCAAACAGATTTTATTCTTCTTAGTTATATTATTGACCTTTTTTGGAAAACTAAAGAAAATATATATTTATTAAATAGAGAATATTTCCTCTATAGGTAGATCAGATGACGCATTCCGTGGAAAAAAAATGAATATCATTATATTATAAGAAAATAGTTACAATCATTCTCTACAAGAAATTTAGTCAATTCAACAAAAAATGTAACTCCGACGTTACGTATTTTCATTATTACACAATTCAACTCGCAAAATCAAAAGTTTCATATTTTCTAAAAAAGTTGGTTGATAAGTTAAAAAAGGGTCACCGGATGGTGACAGTTTTTATTATAATTTTACAATAATTACAAAAAAAACTGTTTAAATTTGGATAATTACATAAAAGATCTCAAATGCATCCTAACCAATGATTGAATGAAACCAAATATTGCGATCAAAAGTTATCAAATATGGGTTCTCCTTAGAATTTTTAAATACCTTGAATGGTCAAGTATTTATCGTTGACATGGTCATAAACAAATTAAAGAGGCTAAACTTCGCGTGCACCTCCCATCCTGCCGGAAACTTATTATCGACAATTTGCAAGTAGAGGGAGATATGCTCTTCATCCTCACCTTTTGCCCTCAACTTCCCCTTTGGATAAACAACACAAAGTCTCCTGAAACCAAATAATATACGTACAGCACACAGTCCACAAAGTCCAAAATTAATCAAGCAGTAAGTATGTACGATTAATTAGTGGCATTAGAGGCATAGCCACAAAAACAATACTAGGTGAGCCCTAGAATGGTCCGTCTTCTAGGAGGTGCCTACGTGCTTGACAACAGAGCCCACTTTTATAGAGAACCCCAAAATTTAATATGTATCTGTAGTATAGATTGATTTTTCTAGATGTTAGTATAATTCAAGATTTTAAAAGGTGTATAACTTTTAGATTGTCTAATTTATGTACTTTAAACATTATAAGAACTTATTATTGAAGTATTTCACTGAACTATCTAGTTTATTTGTATTCAATTGTTAAATTTGTATTTTTTCTAGAGGTGGGAGGACTGGAAGAGCCTAGACGGCAACCTTGGTAGTTACGCCAATGGGATTAATGAAAGAACAAAAGAAATAAAAGTAAAAATTTCCGAGTATGTAGTAAAGCAGCATATACATATATCACTACAAAAAACATAAGGAATTGACACTGTTTTGATACGGATTGATCGATGATTTTGTTCAAAATCATTTTGACACAAATTTGGCATATCCCGTAAAAGATTCTTGTTAATCCCGTGTTTTGTTGTAGAGTGTGGGCACACGGAGGTTTACCATTTTATATCGCAAGCCTCAAAAACACCAGATTCAATTTTGTCAACACCAGTTTCAGAGAGTAGGGAGAATGATCGTATCTTGAAGAAGAAGTGGGCTGGGGGCATATCCCTGCTCCACCTCTCCACCCCGTCTCCGGCCGCCGTTGAACCCATATATATATTGCGGATGATATATGGACTTATGGAGTACTACGTGTATATATATAGCTTAAATCTAGCAAACCGTACCACTGCTCGCTCCTCCACCATTTAGGTGCGTTTATATAGTGGCCAGGTATCAACAGGGGCTATGGTTAATGCTTGTGATCAGAAAACCCGCGGAAGGGGGTCTTTAATTACTCTAAAACTAGGATTGTAATTAGGGCAATTAGGGTGGATCAAGGAATTTTACTTGTGCTGACTTGAATACGGAGTAGTAAGTAAAGGTTTAAAAATTAACAGATGGACTAAGGATGTTTTTACTTGGACTGTAATTTGGTGGTCTGGTCTGGCCTGGTCTGATCTGGTCTGGTCTGGTAAGGTCTGATTTCTTTGTATTTTTATAACTATCCAAGTCTGGTCTGGTCTGGACTGTTCTGGTCTGATCAGGTCTAGTCTGGACTGGTCTGGTTTGGGAAAAATTACAATCCAAGTAAAAACATTAATTAAGTATAAAAAATGATAAAATTTACACTAAATAAGTTGAAACAAAATACATTACCGTGAGCCCATAATAGCCCTAACCTAGATAATTCAATGTTCGGAACCGTGGATCTTGAAGTCGTTAAATAGGTTGGATCCTGAAGTCGTTAAATAGGTGGATGGAATCTTCAACTTTTGATACATGATGTATTTGGATTTAATTCTGCTTCTGCGTCTTTTTTAAAACAGAATTTTCCCGAAATACGAGTAAATATGTTTGAGAATTTTAAAATATGACTTTTATATTTTTATTTTTAAATAGGAGTAAATTAATGTTCAATTTCGAAAATACAGCCATGTTTAAAGTCTGTTACTGTCAAAACATAATAGTTATTACTCTTATTTTGTAATTAAAAATATAATAGTACTATTTTCAAATATACAAACGTTTTTAGTCCTACTTACGATAATTTGATTAATTTCCCTTTTTTCAAAACAGAAGTACAATCACAAGGGTAATTTCCAGAAGCGATAATCTCTCCCAACTTCTAAAAACCGCTTCTGGAAATATATTGGAGTATTGAGATATACTTGTACACTTTCACCCAAACACTCCAACATCTTCTTCTGATCCTTGAAGGAGTAAAAAGTAATTTTAAGAATTGTCTACCAAACAGCGTTTTTCAGCAATTGAAACACAAAACCAGTCCAACAGGCAATTTTTTTGCTGAAAATCGGATTTCCAAACACACCCTACCATACGTGATCTGATCCAGTTACTAGGATGCTCTTGCATATTGTTTGGGCACTTTTGCCTATGGGACCGATCAAAAAAGAACATGAATTTGTGAGATTACTCTCAAAATAGGACTAAATAAATCATTAATTACTCAAATAGGATTCAAAGTTAAAATTTCCGCAATAGGAGCTAATTTTTGGAGTTGAAGAGTAAAACCCTCAAGCTTGTCAAAACAAGACACCTGACCTCCACTCGCCGCCGACCGCTAGAGGCAACGAAGAATTGGCCGCCGCTGCACATTTGGCAGCCGCCGGTTCAGATCCAGCCATCACCAATTGTAGATCTGACCGCCGACACCATAGACTGGCCGCCGACACCGTAAAACTGACTCCTACCGCGGATCCGGTCTTCGCCAGTGCAGATTTTCGTTGTCACTGGCGCCAACATTATTATACCAATGCCAAAATGAATCCAAAATGATATGTTAATGGCATTTTCAAAAGAAACAATGGCATTTTTAAGAGTAAATTAAAATGCCATTTTAATGGCATTTTTTGAATAAAAATTTGCATTTTTTTAAAAATCAAACCAAATGAAGAAGATGAACATTGAGTTTTTGTCATCGTTGAGTGCATGTGAATTGACGAAGAGGGAGAAAGGAGAAACGAAATAGAGAGGAGAGATTGAGGAAGATGAACAAGAAGCAAGAGACAGGGAGAACAACGAGCCTGAATTTCACAACAGATCTGAACTTACGCTCGTCGTTGGCCGCTGCACAACTCTCTCCGACGTTTGCCGTCGCTCTTTCACAGCTTGCCACTCGCTTCCGCTGGTCTCCAAACCTTCGTCGTTCGCCGACGTTTGCTATTGCTCACCGCATCTTTGTTGCTGCTCATCACATTGAAAGTGCCATTGTTGGAGAGTTGCGCAAGTGTGAAAACAAAGAAGGGCGCAGGGGTGAGTGGAAAACAGGGGTTTGCCCGATTGAATTAAATTGAGGGGTAAATTAGTACAATAGTCCTATTTAGGAAATAGAAGTATACTCACTCCCATTTAGGAATTTAAGCAACGTGCATTTTAATCCTATTTAGAGAAAAAAAATCTGAATTTGTTCTCTTCCATTACGTCATGTTATATGTTAAGCCATTAGGTCTTGCAAGCTTGAAATTAGTGAATTGAATTAAGATAAAGTCTAGAATACCCTCATATTGAGGGTACCGTACTTGTGTGGTTAAATAAGAATATTACAATCGAACAATTTGAATAATAATATATTACTCGGTATGAGATAAGAACTTGGATCAATCAAACTTATTGGTACGTTATCGCCATTTATTCATTAGGAATCGTCGCACTAAGTACATTTAATTAAATCATGTTAAATTAACCTTAATTAAGTGGAAAACAAATTATTTCTCAATAACGGCAGGGCCCGCCAGTCCGCCAACCCTAGCTGCGAGATGGATCTGACGGTGCACTGGATCGACGAGCGGCTTCCCTCACCAGCTTCAGCCTGAGAAAGGAGACGACACCATTAACGTGGAGACTTGGTGCTAATTTCCGTTTGGTGGCCAGGTTCTGTGTTCTTCTTTTTCGTCGTGTTTCGATCGATCGTAACTTCTTCTCCAAGTGTCTTAGTCCCGCGGCTTTGTTTCTGGCTCAATTTGGCCGAGGTTGTTTGTTGTGCTTCCTGTTCTGAATGAACGACTGGAGCTATTTCGTTCTTGTGAATTGCAGTGTTTTCTTTTGAATTCGTTCACATAGCTCAGTGTTTTCATTTGCTTTGAGTCTGTGGATTTTAAATTGTGCTATATATGATGGAAATGATCTCGAAGAATAATGTTAGTATGATTTTAATTGCTAAGGAAGAGAATAGGGATTTGGTGTTAGCGGTTGACCCGGTAGAGAACGTGGATGGGACTACAGAAGGGTTCAATTTAGCTGTTGTGGCTAGAGTACTGGTTTCCGACAAACCCGTTTGTGCCATTTCTTTTTGTCAAACAATGGCTATGGTTTGGTGACCAGTCAACGGGGTCTCTATCGATGAAATTGATCAATTATATCATGAGGACTCTAAATTCCTACTACAATTCTATCATGAAGGAGATCTTAACAGAGTTGTTGTTGAAGGGCCTTGGTCTTTTGAGCAGAATCTTGTGGTTATCAAACGATTGGGGCATACTGATAAACCTCTGGAGGTTACACTGGATCATGCAGATTTTTGGGTTCAGGTACACAACCTACCGTTAAGCTACATGACGGCAAGGATAACTCATGGAATTGCTAACAGTATCGAATCACTTGTGCAAGTGGATGAGGGCTCTTGTGGTGAAAGGCAAAGGTTGGTCCTATGAATTAGAGTCACTCTTAATATTATTATGCCTTTGACTAGACGCTTACAAATCAGACATGAGGGAGATAACTAGATCTGGGCAGACTTTCGGTATGAGAGACTCCTGAACATCTGCTTTCTATGCGGAATTCTTGGCTATGCTGACCGCTTCTGCCCCTCTAATCCACATAGTGGTATAGGGATCGTGGAGAAGCCTTGTGGGTCATGGCTAAGGGCTGATATGTGGCGGGGAGGATTGCATCCGGGAAACATGTGGCTTATTCCTAGCAATAACAAGCCAGGAGATAGACGAGATGAAAAAGCAGAGTCTGATACAATGACAAAGGAACTCGAAAGCTATATGGTGGAAGGACTCTTGTCAAAGGGTAACGAGATTGCTACAACCCAGGACACACCAAGAAAGCGTAGGTTCAGTGAGAAGGATATCGAGGTGGGGGTACAGGCTAGCATGAATGTGGATGAAGAAACTCCAAAAAATTTTGAAGTGGCGGCATTGTCTGAGCAACGTAACATCGCCAGTAGCAAGAGAGTGCGAGAATAAGAAGGGGGTACCTTTAGCGGAGGCTGGTCAAACCGATGTTCCCTTGGCAATGGCTGGACAAACTGGGTTATGTTCCTCTTTTTTCTCTTTATCATTTCAGAACTCTGTTGTGCATTTTTTAAATTCCCTTTTAGTAGCAGGTACAACATTGCTATGTATGGAGTCTACCAAATTGCGGGGTTAGCGAGATGGTCCGCTAGTAAGCGTGAATCTTGCTCTGAGTCTCACCCCAATGTAGCCTTTGTTATGGCAAACTTGTATGTGGTTCTCAGTTTTAATATTAATTAAGTTATCTTTCGCCACACACAAAAAAAGTGGAAAACAAATTGAATGGTTATTACGTCCATTAGAGATGTGACGTAAAATTAGCTTAATCCTGATTAACACGGAAGCCACAACTCCAAAATAAATTCAGAAGTACGTCCATAATACATCCAGCTAGCCAAGCTAGAAATAAGTCACTGCTAAGAGACATCGTGGGTAATTAAACGGCTTGGATGGGGTAGCATGTAAAGAAAACAACAAAATGATGATGTGCATATAATCTATGAATATTTAGACACGAGATTGAAGTTAACTTCAACAATGAGTGAATCATTAACAATGAACTCCTTTGATGAAGTTTCCGATTCGCTAAGTTTCATAAGATTTGGACGGCCCCAGCCACATGCATCGTCATAGAAATGAGCCACTGCACCATATTCGAATGAGATAGACTAAATAATTAAGATGCGTCTGTTAAGACTCGGGGTTCCATCCTAAAAGGTCAACCTAATAGGAGGAGTAGCCCAAAACCTTATATAGTGTATAATTGTTTTATAGCTTTCCGGTGTGGGACAAATGCTTCAACACGCCCTCTCAGCCCGAATCGGGCTGGACAATATCGGGGTGTATAAACGGGCCAAACAAACCCTTAACAAGCTACCCTTAATCATGGGTGCTAAACATACCGTCAAACCACAACCGGAATGGGCTCTGATACA